CCGATTAATCAACCCAATGTAAAATTAAGCCATGCGATAACATATATTTCATCGTTATATACAGCTTAATATGCTAAATATACTTCATTCACTTATTGTTGCATTTCAGGCTCAAAAATATACAATTCTCGCGTTAAAACGTTAACACTATAATAATCCAATCTGTGTAAATTGGTTTCTGTAATAATGAAAAAAATTGACGTCCTTATCCTCACTGGGTTAACGTTTTTCAGCAATATCCAAGGTGTGAAAAATCACAAAGTTTTGTATGTATAAATACCTATCTGCCATTGTACACTACGGAATTTTCTGTACACTGTTAGAAATCGGGTATGCACGTATTGATTTCTCGGTACCAAAGTTTCCACCGTTTGGTATTCAAATTCTACCAGTCTGTAAGAACGTGATACCGATATCATAAAGCTTACCCCTGAGCTATTATTACATGGTAATACTCACGGTTTGGTTCTTATTTTAATACTGGGTTTCAAGGAGTGTACGTACGCGGAAACAAAGATACATACACAATGCATTTATGTTAAGAGCCGTCCAAGCCACTACCCGTCGAATGGTTTCTCCTTTGAGAGTCAATACTTATCTACATATCCTGCCTAATTCCCCTTTTTACAAAATTTTTTGGATTTAGAGTCGCGTCAGCAAGACCCTGGCCAAATTGCGGAGGCTGGACTACAAAACTTTGTAATAGAAATTATCTCTAATTTTCCGGAATGGATAAATGAAAATGGGATGGATCCAACTCCTCCGTTAGACCGAACGTTTCCAATCAGTTACGTTAGCGGACCTATAACTCTGACAGGATACTTTTAGTATGTACTACCATTATATAATGATCTACCTTGGAACCTTTTTAAACCTATTTAAACCTTGGAGTGTTTAGCAAGTTATATGAAAAAGTCAGGTCAAAACGTAATCACATAGAGCTAATCGGTCCTTGTGAGGGAAGTATATTTGTGGTCAAAACGGAGTTTTGGCTTTATTTTTAATATAACTTGCTAGATAAGCCCGACGTAGCTTGACAAAAGATGTCATTGTAAATTCCCCAAACTTATTCTACTAAATCCATCTTTCAGCAACGTCTCAGTTATTGGTTTGTCAAGCATCACTAGTCACAGGTTTGTTTCCACCTCGTATGAAACTCTACGGATTGGAATGTATATTTACTTGCGACATGGTGGAATTCAAGGTGGGAAGGGAAACGATATGTACATTTTATCACATATTTATAAATTGCTCAGAATTAATACACATGAGAGGATTGGCTTTATGTGACGGAGTTCGAAAGAAAATTGGTTACTTAACCGACCGAAAACCAAGTGAACGTATGCTTTATGCTTATATATTTTGTATATTTTATGCCGAATTTAACACAACGATAGATTGAGTCCTTATATTGCGCGGAATTGAGTAAAGCTCGAAACCTGAAGTCGATCTTTTATTAATACTGAACAAATTTAAACGTATGTACTCTGCGTCCAGACAAGTTTGAACTTTTACAGAAATTGAGAAGTCTTAGCAGGTACAAAATGAGCCAAAAGTGCAAGTCTTTTTCGCATCGATTTCACCAAATTGCACATAAAAAATTACAAATTCAGTTTTGGGTGGGGGGATTAATATAGCATAGCTTTTTTGAATTATATTCAACCACACCCCCTTCAAAAATTGGGGAAGAAAATTGGGAAAAATGAGAAGGTCAATGTACACTCGGTACAGAAAGAAGTAGATACCAACTTGCATTTGACATTTGACTCCCCTCATGAGTATGAACATTTTGATGGATCAAGACTTTCAAAATTCGAAAATTGGCGGTTTTTCGACCTACATATAAATCGTTAAAAAAGTGACCTTAGCGGTCATTTTGCGGCTGACAACCTGATGCCAGATTTTTCTTCGTCAGAAGTGCCACATTTTCCGCTTTTGTTGTCCGCTGCGAAATGACCGCTACCATGACTTTTTTGGGTTCAAAGTTTCTGAGGGAGGGGCTTATACAGCAAGAGCCATAACAAACTCTGGCCACTAATGAGTACAGAGAGAGAGAAACAGAGTGAGAAAATGGATCGCGCATACGATCCTAACGCACGATGGTGGTGGATACCCACCGCCAACTACTTTTCTCACTCTGTCTCATCTTCTGCGAAATATGGGAAATGATTTTGTGTTACATTTGGCCTGGTTTTTATCAGCATCTACGCCCTTGCCAGTCTCGCATTCTCCCGTCACCATAGTTTGACGTAATTTGATACGCACAGTGGCGTTGTTTCTAAGTATCTAATTCTAAATTTCCGTAAAAGTTCAAACTTGCATGGAAGGAGAGTATATTTAATTTTCCCATTAATATTACACACCCTCAGGAAGTTACAATGTAACTGGAGAAGCTGTCGGGACATTCCCTGTCGTCGCCACGAGTACGTTTAAGCTGGCGTCGAGCAACGTCGGAATCGGGTTATTTCTCAACATGGTTCAGAAGAATGGAATAATTACCCTAACAAATGGGTCGTACGACTCGTCGTATCTTGATTTTAACTTGGAAAAAACATCTTTGGCAGCGCAATTTGACAATCTTTTCGACCTTGCACCCACGATTTCGCCGGAAAATAAAAAATATGTAGCTGACCACCTTGCCAAAGCTTTGCCGGACAAAGTATTTCGCTCCCGGGAGAAACGCATTTGTCAGCATTTTGTAGTGCAGGGTATGCAGTCGGAGTTTTCGGTGAGCTAATTTTTTTACAGTACAGTGTGTCATACATATGTCAAAGTAAATATCATGTTGTTTTCAAAAATCTGTTAAAATTGACACATCTAACCGTAAATAGTTGATTTTTTCTGCCCTTTGCTTCCAAAATTATGCCGGACCTGTATCCTGCTCAAATCGCTGTCAGTTTCATAGCAGTGAACAATTCGAGCAATGAGTGTCCGTTGTTCGGCTGGTGTCGTTGTTTTGGTAACTAATGTGTCAGGTATACAATTATTATTGTTATATCAGTTGCTACTAACGATGACATAAAGAGAGACAAATTATTTGAACGCTTGCTTATCCAAATAATTTATTCCAAACAGTCCGGGCACTTAGTGGGCAAACTATAGCAAGAAGTTTGGACGGCACCAAATACTATTCTTACACATGTATCTTTGTATCTTCAAAGGAAACCCCAATTACGGATATCATCGCCTGGCCAGAGAAAGGCCCGTCAACTACAATTGCTCCCATAACTACAACTACTACACGACCTGCAAGTTCCACCGCGCTTACCACATCCAAGCCCCCATCAACTACAACTACACCAACTACCACTGCGCCAACTACAACTACACCAACTACAACTACACCAACTACAACTACATCAACTACAACTACATCAACTACAACTACACCAACTACAACTACACCAACTACAACTACATCAACTACAACTACACCAACCACAACTGCATCAACTATAACTACATCAACTACAACTACACCAACCACAACTACACCAACTACAACTACACCAACTACAATTACACCAACTATAACTACATCAACTACAACTACACCAACTATTACCACATTAACTATAACTGCACAAACCGCAACAACAACAACCACAACTAAACCAACTACAACTGCCCCCACCACAACTGAACTTCCTACAACAATCATATATCCTGTTCCTACAATTCCACCAAACGAAACGTACACTGCTTGTCAACTGGCAGCAGAAATAGCTTACATTAGTGGACGAAGTATAGATTGGGATACTCAACTAGAAAATTGTAAGGGTCTTTAATTGTTACCCAGGAGGATTCAGTCAGTCCCAATGAATTCACATGTATCCTAATATTATTACAATTTCAGGGCTTTGCTTGTCGAAGGTGACAACCAATTCACAAACTCATATGTAGAAGTCTCTAGCACAAATTCCAGCGTTGTATTTTATGGAATTTTTAAAGTAAGTAACAAAATGTGGGTGTATTACTTGATGTATATGTACATGCCATCTTATTACTCAGATTTCTTTACCTTGCTATATGTACATCCACTTGTTTGGCTTATATAGATAAGCAACAGATGGTGCGCAGATCCTTATCAAACTGAACAAAATCCATGCAATATTAAATGTCAAGGTTCGTACACATTGATATCAATTACCGATATTTAATTCCTGCGTTACATGAATGCATGATTCATGGTTATTACTACTAAGAATGGTCAATGCATTGATGAATTTACCTGAGATTCTTATCGCATATACAGGATGTTTACAGATTTTGTGGAAAGACAATTACATCTATTACTTTTGAACGCGTAATCCAATTTGCACCAAATTTGGCACACACAATCTCGAAGGTCACGACCACACCTGCCCAAAGTTTCAAATTTCCATCTTCAAAGATGGCCCCTAAAAGTTACCCGAAAGTGGGCGAACCGTAAAAGCGGTTTCCGAAGCTAATTTGGCCGCGAAAAGTGCCCAAACGATAATCCAAAAATTTGGAACCCATCTTATCGTGTCCCCCACATATAATTGTATCAATTTTGTAAGAAAACGCCAGTAACTAGTTTCATCCGACCAACGTATGCGACGAAATGCATACCCCTCAAAACGATGAATTCTGCCACCCTGAAGAACATTGATCGCCACGATGTCAATCAGAATCCTGCAACCAAAAGACAGGTCACAATGCAATCCCAGGTGTCTCCTGGACACGTTAATCGTATTTTATAGCACAATTTTAAAAAAGCCTTGCAGAGGAAGGCGAAAGTCCGCGCACTTAAATTTACCCATATGGTAAACAAAAAAACTAACAGCCGGAGGCTGTTTGAAGGTCATGTTGGGAATAAAAATTCCGAATTTGTCGTCACATTGGACGGGACACTCTGCTGCCTTCAAAACTTCAACAGGACAAAAATAATTTGCTGCAAAACCGATCGAAAGCAGATTTCAAAGCATGGGTCTGAAAAGAAGGAAAAGTTGTCTGACTGATTCCTGGTGGCAGGTGCAATGACGGACCGTGGAGTGCGAACATTGATACCTGTTGGGTCTAATGCAAAAATAAACTTGAAGTACTTTATGGACAGTGTTTTACATAAGTTGTTGGAGGTCAAAATTGCAAAGAAGCAATTTGGGGAGCCTGACAAGGTTTGCATCCATCACGACGCGACATTTTCATATACGACCGTATTTACCCAACCGGACGCCCAAGATTTAAAGGCAAACCCCTGAATGACCTCGATATCCTTTTCCGGGGTACACATTAAGTAACCTGACACCAGTCCGATGGAATTTTTTGGGTTTGGATGCTTAGAACAACGCTTTTTCAATGGAAGAGATAAAAAATGTCTGTTGTTTGGAAACCCCTTTCACCGATTCCTCCACTTTGAGGTCACTTTTTGAGCTCATTTTTGAAGATAGAAATTTGAAACTTGGGACATGTGTGATCGTGATCTTGGGGATTGCGTGTTCGAAATTTGGCGCCAAAACGGATAAAGGGTTCGCAGTTTACCCATAAAATTGTCTTTCCACAAAATCTGTAAACACCCTCTGTATAGCTTTTTGTATACGTAGATCTACTAAACAATCTTGAAGGTAGTATCACCTGTGCGAAATATATCTTCGAAGAAAATGGCTTTCACGAATGGCCAGAATACAGAAAATGGTGCTCTTATATCCAGGACGACTACCTAGTAGAATGTCGGCGTAAGTTCTGATAACCACTAGAAAATAACAATTTACAAGATTTCTAAGCAGATCTGTTCATATACAATCGTTGTTTAGGACCTCCAGGATTTATAACAACCTATGGACCCGAAACGGCCAAGGTGTTTAATGAATTAAGTCAAAATCAACGAATAGCTTGTTCCGTGCATGGTGTACCACCTCCAGAAGTTACTTGGGATGCAGAAACGACAGCGTACGTAGCAAGGAACGTTGAGAGGCTCGAAACAAGTCAATTTCGTGAAAGAGCGACCGATGGGTCATGGATGGTTCAACGTCGTCTAACCTTTACTAAAGTAGTCTTATCGGATGACCGAGGGTATACTTGTTTGGCGAATAATATCGCGTCAAATAAAACGCAAGAGTATACAGTGACAGTAGTTCCTACCCCTGACAACTCGTCATGGATTAGGCCAACATTCCTTTCCACCGGCATTGCTTTGGCACTACTAACACCTGCAGTACTGCTGTTATTATGTCGCCGAAAACGGGTAAGTAAATAATTTGAAATGTGAAGCTCTGTAAATACTCTATTTGTAGCCGGGGCTAAAATCCAATACTTGGACCCGGCTATAGTAGAGACCTAGCTAAATTTTGCCCTACTTTTAAACACTATAAGATCGCGTATATTTCTTTTTAACTAATTTTAAGGTTTTATTGAACACGATATCCTACATGAAGCCTTTGAAATCTAAGCCAAAATAACCTTCTTTAAACCTTGGTTACTAGTGTTTTGAAGTATTTGTCACGATCATATGGGTATATATGTATTCTTGCAAAGTGTGTAATTAACAGTTTTGCTAATTTTAACCTTACTCGTTCGTTAACCAAATGTGCAACATTTTTCCTCGATTAGAGATCCAGCTATAATTATTAAAATGGCTAAAATTTTAAAATATATATCTCTTGACCCGGCTATATTTTGAGACCGGCGATAAATATAATAGAGCTGTGAATAGAGTATTTACAGTATTTAAACGTTGACTATTTATTAATTAATTTGTATTACAATTATATTCCAGTCAATTAAACTTGAGAAAATCTACGATGCCTTCAAGCATGGTGGAAACTCAGATGATCAGTCAAACAACAAGAAACCCCAACTGCGACTTTCATTCCTTCCTTCTGAGATATATAGAATTTATCAAAACCTTAACGCCCTGCCTTTCCCAAAAGAATTGCAGATTATTCCATCACGACTGACTTTAAACAGGAAGCATGTACTTGGTCGAGGAGAGTTTGGAACGGTGTACATGGGTTTGCTGGATGGGATAACTCCTACGGCGATTAAAACCGTTACAGACGACTCGGATGACGCAAAACTCAACGCGCTTCTATCAGAGGTGAAAGTAATTGCTTACGTCGGAAGCCATAAAAATGTTACGCAGCTTCTTGGTGTACAGTTGGTAGATCTGAGAACGGGTATGCAATTCAGATCGTTTCCTACTAATTTAGATCTTTACATCCATTTCCTTAGTATGAATATTTCAAATTTTGTGTACAGGTCTGATATATGTCGTTGTCGAGTACTGCTCGCTGGGTTCATTAAAAGAGTATCTAACAAAACATGCAATGAGCTGAGGAATTTAGTATCGTTTTACAAGTCTCAAGAATACATGGACCCACTAGATTTCGTTAAACCCTTATCCAGATATGAGTTATTACGGTGGTGCCACCAAATTTCTAATGCGATGGAGTTTCTGGGTTCTAAGAAGGTACAAAACATCTATTTAGTTACAGTAAACCAAAACAGCATTACGTATATTGTAGCGGTGAAACTGTCACCATTAGATCATTCACGGTGACTTGGCAACTCGAAATGTCCTTCTTGACCACAACTGCGTAGCAAAAGTTACGGATTTTGGACTTTCTCGCCAGATGTTCAATAATTATAAACAATCTGTTATAGGTTCATGGGTAAATATCCATACAATACATATGAATGAAGCTTTATAGAAGCATTCTAATTTTAATTTCATCATTATTCTCGAAGGATATTTCACTACCAGTCGCATGGTTATCAATTGAGGCTTTACGACATTTACGCTTCTCCATCCAATCTGATGTTTGGGTTTTCGGAGTCTTCATGTGGGAAGTATTCGCCATGGGAGAAACACCGTACATTGGCATTAACTTGGGTCCGGATTTTATCCAATATTTGGAGGATGGACACCGATTAGAAATGCCAGAACATGCTACAGAAGAAATGTAGGTGCAGCGTGCAGTTGATATGTAATTTCTTTGGCTCCAATTTTTAGTAGGATCGCGCTTATACTGATATTGCGGCTTCAATAACTTGCTATATTTTTCATTAAAATCCAGGCCGAGATTTTTCGAAGATTGCTCTTTGCATTATTGCATTATCAATCAAGATACAATCTGCCCACCACGTCAACAACCACACTTTTAATAAGAATGCTACCCTTTTCAAAAGTTGATAGAGGTTTCTGAATTAAGTAATGTATTTATACCAAGTCAAGAGCAGCATTTACGGCATAAATAGTGAAGTTTACTCATTTTGGATTGATTAAGGTTACTTTGCATAGAACTCAGAGTGCAGTTACTTTCCAATCGAATATTATTTTTTTCACAAATTCCATAACCACCCACCAACTGATTTAACGTAATATATGAAACAACACCCAAATACTTGTATACTTCTAGATACGGACTAATGTTGAGATGCTGGACTTACGCACCAACAAATCGAATTGGTTTTCAACAGCTGTCAATCGAACTACTTCGCCTTTACGGATTGGAATATATGAAGCTAGCATAAGTAAGTCATTGAAGTTTATTATTACGATGTTCATAGAGCCCTTAACTTGATTAATGAACAAAAATTAAGCTACGTTACTATTACATTTAATAATAATGATTCTGGTTTTTGATGCTGACGCTCATTAGGATCTATATGATTATCAACATAATTATTAAAATTTAGAAAATTTGTTTGCTATGTTCAGAAAGCTACTTCACAACCTTTAAAAAATCAATAAAAAACAATAATCAATCAAGGGATCCAAAACAAGGCTTAAATTATTATGACCTCATTACTGAATTATATTTTCTGTTCATTTCCGTTTATATTCCGTCTTTAAGACAGGCTTATAGAATAGTTTATCTACATTCCGGAAACTCAAATTAGCAAACAATAAATAATCGTCTACAAACATCTCTTAAATTATGATTGGACATAATCACAAATTTAAAATATTGAGATTTACAATGGAGGTCTCCCAAAGAATGCTCACAGATTTGGGTCAAACTAGCGTCAATCGATCACAAATATAATTAGAATGAAATTTGCAAATGGAACTACCTGCCAATGCGGAGGTTTTGCGGAGATATTTGCATCAAAAGAGGGGAAAACGCACCCCCAAGGCCGGGAAATTTATCATTTTCCCAATTTGCTGCGCATTTTTTGCACAGCAAAATATTCGAATTTGCACAGCAAAATATTCGATATTTGCATCCAGCTTTGGATGCAAATATCTCCGAAAAACCTGTGCATTGGCAGATAGTTCCATTTGCAAATTTTATACTAATTATATTTGTGATCGATTGACGCTATTTTGGTCCAAATCTGTGAGCATACGTTGGGAGACCTCCATTGTTAGTGTTTGCTTAGTAACGGAGCGAGCAACTTGCATCAGCCCATATTCAAGGGATATCAGTCTGCCACAACTTCGAAATGACCGTTTTAACGTGGCACATAGACTATAATCTGAAAACCCTTTGTCGATATAAGAACCCGAAGCCGCCGGTTTTACGTAGGCGCGATGCGCCCCGTATAAAAATGGTCTGTCGATTACTGCAATATTGGCAAGGACTACATGACATTTACTGCATAAATCTTTCACAAAATTTTCATCAATTCTGTCCTTGTTAACAGCGTAGAAATTTCTTAGCCTTTATTTCGTCGCTGCTTATGAAGTATTGGGCAGAAAGGGTTGCCACACATGATTCTGCGTAATAAATTATGTCTAATTTGGGCAGCTTACTTTTGTCCCAAAAAGCAGCCAATTTGCGACTCGACTGAACATAACTTGCCAGAGATTTCAAGCATACAATGGCGGAAAATTTTCATACACTCGCGGCCACCGAGAATAACTGTACGGTACGTCGTCGTCGGCGTCGTGGTACGTAGCCACCGCAAAATACTCTAGACGCGTCGAGTTTATCTTCACATACTGTAAAAGAGTTAAAAGGACAAAAAATGTCGAAAATTGGGTTTAATGCGTTTTACTTGTGATTGAAACTGACAAGGGACACTCACGACCTGTCGTTTGAGTCCAGGATATATATGCATAATCATACAGAAATTGTCTTTAATGCAAGGTTTGTAGATGATGGTTTCCTAATTGTAGATAATACAAATATCTCAAATATTGAAGAGTGGTGCAATAAAATTTTTAATCATGAATACTTAGAGTTTACCACTAAATTAGATTATCATTCAATTGAGTTTTTAGACGTACAAATAACAATTAATGATATGAACAAAATCGTAACATCACTGTACACGAAGCCAATGGCTAAAAATGTTTTTTTACATTACGAATCAAACCACTTAAAATCTCTCATTGAATCTCTTCCGTATTGTCAAGCATTACGTATAAAAAAGATATGTTCCGATCCCGAAAATTCTGAACAACAAATTGAAATGTTATTCGGAAAATTTGCAAAACGGGGTTATCCTTTAAATGTACTACATAAATGTATATTGAAAATTAATCAGATAAGCAGACATGATATTCTTAAGCCAAAAACTCAACTTGTGATAAAGGGGTTAAATTTAATGCACCACCGAATAAGCTGAAATCTACCACAAATTTTAGCTGAATTCGCCACCGGATGAATTTTTTCCAGCTTTAGCCTTTTCAGCCACCGATTTAGATGGTGGTTACCACAAATTTAGATGAGCTGCCATCACCATATTTAATGACGATAAAACATGGGTATTATGTTTGTAAAAAAATATAAGCACAATAATCTCAAGAAATCATGCTAATTTCCTTATTGATAACCTTATTGCTGCATGTACCTGTGTATATATTTGTATATCATTGACTAGACTGGGCAGGAGAAGTGACGTATATATTACCTTTCGGCTGGTCATCAATACTCTCACAGTTGTCCTGCAGTTAAAATATATCTATCTGAGCAACGTTTTTTAAAACCAAAGAAATGACGTATTCGAAAGTTTTTAATTAGACCAGTGATACCGAATCCTCTCTTTCTGAGGAAAATTCTCCCAAATTTTAGAAACTCAAGCCCAATTGCGTCTAATATTCCTTTAGAGAGTCCTAGGATATATACTTTACCGGATTAATTCAATCTGAATCCGACAGGGTAGAATTGGCTTGATTTTTTCTGACCCAATAAAACTGGATCGGATTTGAAAAAATACTTTTCACCCAACCAGTTTGCCGTTACGGCTGGAGAGACATCTAGCAATTTTAAATTTCTGTTGGAAGACCTGGAAAAATGGACGCAAGGAAATAATTGGTTTAGAAGTTCAGAATACGCGTTATGATGTTAGACCAGAAGCCAAAACCGTTCCATTTGCGTAAAAGCTTTTTCCAAAAGCGTAAGAATGTAGGGTTGCGAAAGCTAAAAAAGCGCTTAGGTTATTTAATTTCAGGTGTATTTATAAAAGAGACATGTATATAGACGTATTACATAAATAACTAAATCATATTATTGTAAATTATATTGCTTTTATAATCCTATGCTCATTAAATATGGTGATGGCAGCTCATCTAAATTTGTGGTAACCACCATCTAAATCGGTGGCTGAAAAGGCTAAAGTTGGAAAAAATTCATCCGGTGGCGAATTCAGCTAAAATTTGTGGTAGATTTCAGCTTATTCGGTGGTGCATTAAATTTAACCCGTGATAAAGCATTTAAAACATAATAATCCAACTGTGTTATGTAAATATACCAATGCCTACTTACATGAAAAAGAGATACATGAAAAAGTCTTTATTGTTATGCCGTTCTACAAGAATATGTATGGTTTTAAGAAATTATTCATAGATTTTATTCTATGTGAAGCAAAGAAAGGTCAAAATGTAAAATATAAACAAATATTAACAAACCTTAATTTAATTATATCTTACAAAAAAACTACCCAACTAAAAAGGTACACTGGCCAGCAACATAAAACTGGATAATAGTATCAATTTGTACTCAACTCGAGGCGTAACATATGAAAAAAATATTTGCCCAAAAAAAGTTTAAGAAACTTGTAAACAACTTATAAACATTTAAAACAAACTATAACAAGTCACTCAGCAGGAAATTTTGAAATTCTATTATAAAAAACTTACTAACTTATTTAATTTTACCAGATTATTTAAGAACACAATTACACTTATTATAATGGCGTGTGAATATGCATGTGCATATACATATGTATATATTTATATCTTCAAACTTAATTGGAAATTTAATTCACCTTATCTTATTTTATATTAATTATTTTGTAATTTTTTATAATTTCGTAGACTGATGAAGCTGTAATTTATGGCGAAACCGGTCGCAGCTGGTGAATAAATCAGATTATTCGAACAATCAGTTGGAAGTGTTTTCTTCACACATTTAAAAAATGTTTTTTAGAATCTACTAGGACCCCAGATGAAGGATTCATTCATATTTCCGTGTGAAACTCATATTTGGCGTCGTGCCGTGGCGCCAAATTCGCCAAATTTAAATGTTTTTATTTTTGA